GCTTTTGGTCGTTTTGGACTCGTCAGAAGAATGGATTCTATCTTGTGATCAATAATTTCCTTCTGTCAAATCCTTTATCCCCTAAATGTATTGTGGATTTCACAGTCACATTAATTATGGTTCGATAGGCTTTAAACATATAAAATTATTTTTAAAGTAATTCATTTTTATAATTTACCTTTTTAGTAATTTACCTATAGATGTTATTTTTTTAAAAGTATTTGGTATTTTATTGTCAAAATAAGTACTTTATTCATTTCTACTTTTGAGCCATAAAAGATTATAAAATTTTATTTTCTTATTAGTAGACTACTTAAACTCAGGCAACCAAGCTCTAAATTAATTTCTCTAGACAGTTAGTTACATGAGTCTTTTTCTACCACAGATTACTTCGTTGTTAATATAGAAAACTAATTGCACGCATGAGGAAAATTTTCAGTTCCTAAACATGTGGAGGCATACACAGAAACACGCCGATTAGTGTTTTAGAGCAAATATTTCGCAGTAAGCATTACCACCAAACAAAATTATTGGCAACCAGAAACTTGAGTACTCGATGCGAACAATCAAATTCCAGTGACTTTCACTTGTAGCCGCTGGCTTTTCTTCATTTCAATTCATTTGGAGCCGTCGCCCTTTATTTTCCCGATAAATTTAGTTACGACTACCTCATTTGTATTCTAGATTTGGGAATTATCGCTTCCTTGTAGTCTCTTTCACTGGCACATGTGTATTTGTGTATATAAGCATTAAATACTTAAGTATTTTTGGATTTTGAATGTCGAATGGTTTGTCTGTGAACAATGATTTTGCCAAGTCCTATGCTATTAGGAGTCAAGAGAAACAGATTAAAACATTATCTTCTTCATTCTATTTTTATTTTTTTAAACAAAAATATTGTGGAAACTGGGAAAATCGTGACCGGTTCGCAGATTTTTGGTTCAACCGGATGGATTCTCATGTTTTTCACTGGTTTCTTTACACCCGATTTTTCTCCTACAACTAGATCAGATTTCAGTCCGATTATCGATTTTTTTGGTCGAACCAGCTAGTCTGGTCCAATTAGCATTTAAGACAATTTTCCCAATGAAATAATCAAATGGCGTATTTCGATGTCACTTATTAAAACAAGAACCCTGCCCTGAGAAAT